AGATAAGGCTTCCAACCACTCTTCCACCTCCACCACCAGTAAAACATGAATCTATTCCCGATTCCTCATCTGCCCTAGCCATAACCAACATATTTACTCTCTTAGGATCAACTGTAGGACAATTCTGATCAAATTACACAAAAGGCCTTAGTCAGTCTATATGATCCATACTCATCAATGCCATCACCTTCAACTCCCAGAACACCTAGCTTTACTAAAACATCTCCCTATGTCAAGAAAAACCCAATGGAATACCTCTTCTGCATCCCTAACCATATTGACAAAAAAAAAAAAAAAAAACCCCAGAAAAAATAGCCAAAATAATTTTACCTTCGAATTTCCATCATATACCAACTGAATCTTTCAAAACCCTCAAATTTTATCAAGCAATTCTCAGTGAGACAGAAATCATTGCTATCAAACCTATTTACAGCACCAATCATCAAAACAAAATCCTTTACCATTCTCTCCATATTGGAAAATTTCTTACCGAACAAGAATGGGGACTCCCTCTCTATCATACCAAACAGCTTCATACCCAAAATGTTCTCTCCTTCCCAACAACAAATATAGTTATTTTGACTACATTCAAGCATGGACTAACATATTTTTTCTTCACCAAACATCTGACTTTAGTCATTCTTGGTTCATTACATTTGATAAAAGTTTCAGGTTGAACTTCCCAACATGGTTTCCCAATTGGTGGTTAGCTCATGGCCTAACAGCCAGCTTAATACCTGAGGATATCATGCAAATTCTATCATCTGGTTTCTAGAAGAAGTTTGATCGAAGCAGTTTCGACGACATAGTTACTCTTCTTTCATTGTTCATGGCAAAATACAAGGTCCCTTGGATCATGAAATGGAATTATGAGATTGAAACAAGTCAAGTTTACAGAGCCTGGTGGATTAAATGGTGGGACAAATTCGATTACAGAAAAATTATCAGTGTGGTCTCATCAAAATTTCCAATTGAACCTGTTCCAATGGTATCTCCATCATCAACAACAATAAAGGCATTGCCAGAAATCCCAGAAAATGCCCAGTCTCTATCAGACATTAGTCCTTCATCCTCCCTCAAAGGAAAATCTAAATCATCCAGGTCCTAAAAAACATCAAGTTCGAAGAAGAAAGAGAAATCCTCACAACTCATGAAAATGGCAGATAAGCTTATAGCAGAAGCAACTTTGCTGCGAAGTGAAGAAGAAGACCAAAGTTCAAACTCATCAGATGCTTCATCTCAACCAACCAAGTGGGCAGATTACCAGGATTCCCAAGACCCGTTTGATTTGTAAAATTTAAAAATATAATGATTTGTAATCATTTTAAGTTTTTACCTATGTAAATCCTACAATAGAAGCCATGTGATTTCCACAGAAAGCAGCATCAACAGTAGCATCAATCATTCCGACAAGTTACTATTCATGAATAATAAAATCACTTTTTACTATTCATCCATCATTTCAGCCAGCAGCAGCGTGAATCCACAGTGAAAAACATCATAATTTGCCAGCCTTTACAGCCTTTGGCACATGCAAGATATAGATAGCAGTGGGATTTCCGGCCTCAATCATCTAACTTCTTCCTACAAAAGAAGAATTCATCTTTAAGGAGAAAGGACTTTAGTCGAACATAGTTGAGACTCTCTGTGAATTCTCTCAAGAACAGAAGTCATTGTTCAGCTCCATTCCACAACCACCAAAATTATTAAACACTTGTATTCTATATTTTAATCAAGGATGCCTGCGAGCTCCACCATTTTCCTTATCAATTGTCAGTAGATGAAATTGTAAGTTGGTTTCCAATTTGAAATAAAATTATTTTTCAAATCCATATCTGCTTCATTAATTTTAATTCATTATTTTCGTTATGAAGAATATTTTCATAACTACTGATTTTGAATGACACAAAATTCTTACTCACAGTCAATTCATCGAGTATCTCAAATTCAAGGTAAATACCGATCAAACATTCATTCAATTCTTCTTATTTGTTTATCATAGTTGGTTCCAAATTTGTAATGGGTATGATGATAATAATCTAATTCCATATTCGTCCTATCAATATGATCATTATTGCCCCCATTCGTACTGCCCTCATCAGACATTCTATCATTAGAAATCTGCTTGTAAGCTTCCGCCCCCATTTGGTATCAGAGCCAAGTGAGTGGTAATTGCATTAGCATCTTTATAATTTGCAAGTCAGGTTCATATCCATCCTTACAATTTACAGTCTATCTTATCTGTTAGTCCTTATAGTCGTTTGTTTAATTCCCCAACCAAACAGTAAGGCATGTTCTAAACAATAAGTCCCAGGAGTGGCATGAGCGGATCGCTTGAGCAGGGAAGAAGTTTAGCCAACGCACGAGGAAGGTGAATCCGTATAAGTTTTCTGTATTTTGTTTGTTTAATTTGTGAACTTTATGAGTAGATTATTTAGATCTAATTCAATGGCCAACACTAGCTCTAGGTCCAGTCTCAACTATGTTCGACCGAAGTCCCTTCTCCTGAAAGATGAATTCTTCTTTTGTAGGAAGAAGTTAGATAATTGAGGTTGGGAATCCCGCTGCTATCTGTCTCTTGCATGTGCCAAAGGCTGTAAAGGCTGGAAAATGATGATGTTTTCACTGTGGATTCACGCTGCTGCTGGCTGAAATGATGGATGAATAGTAAAAAATGATTTTACTATTCATGAATAGTAACTTGTCGGAATGATTAGTAACTTGTCGGAATGATTGCTGCTACTGCTGATGATGCTTTCTATGGAAATCACATGGCTTCTACTGTAGGATTTACATAGGTAAAAACTTAAAATGATTACAAATCATTATATTTTTTGAATTTTACAAATCAAACGGGTCTTGGGAATCCAAGTAATCTGCCCACTTGGCTGGTTGAGATGAAGCATCTGATGAGTCTGTATATATATATAACCAATGTGGCAAGTGAAATGATCCCTACCTCAATTCCGAAATTGGATCCCATCCGAATCTAATTTGTGAGGATCCTAAGGATCCTCACATCTTAACCATTTATCGTGTATCGTGTGGTCATAAATCATTTGACTTTTTTTATTTAAAATTAAACACAAATAGTATATGATGAAAATTGATCGCACGATATATATGAACGGCTAAGATGCAGTGATCCCTAGGATCCCCACAAAGTGAATCCGAAGAGGATCATCTTCCCTCAATTCCAAGCTTAACTCGTAATAATAAACCATAATTATAGGTACAGTCCTTGAGAGTTAGGAATGGCAATGGGGCAGATTAGTTCGGATGTGCCATACCAATAGCCAAACTTATTTGTTTCCCCAAACCTGAAATTTTAAAATCCTTAGAACGATAATTCCCTATAACCGAACTAGTTGGGTAATCAATTCTCCATTGGGTAACAGTTTTCTCCATTATGATATTTCTTTCTTATGAAAAATTAAGCTTTGTAACACTTGCCAAAATTCAACTGACTAAATAGTGATTCTTAAACAACAATACTCAGCTATTCTAGAAAAGTTCATCATAATCCAAAATACTTCAGCAAAAAAATAAAAATAAAAATCCAAAATGCTCTATAGCTAATGCATTGCCCACATAACATATTAAGGAAAGGGATCCTCTCTGGAACCCTTCCTCCTAATCCACCAAATTAGGGAATCCGTGCCTTAGAAAATTGATCTAACGGCTAAAATTATTATAACTTTTAAAGTGGGCCCCTGTTTGTAGCTATTGGATCAATTTTCAACGACATGAATTCCTTGATTTGGTGGATTAGGAGGAAGGGATCCGGAGATTATTAACATCTAACATTTCTCGTGTCCACAAAACAAGCAGCAATGCTTCATGATGTTTGTGTAGCAATAAAAAACCAAGAACATGTAGCTGTGGAAACTTGATATCATATTTCGTGTTTCCAGCTGTAGAACTTGTGAATAAGTTGAAGTTCTATCATAAAACCAATTTGGTATATATCGAGTAGTCTAACCTCTTATAAATCTATGTAAACATTAAGATCATGGGAGTGAATTTAGGGAAGTGAGTGATTGATATAACTACTTTCTTTTGAATTTGAGAAAATTCTATTACGCTCCGGATATTTTATATATTGCGATTTTTAGTCGTTAAATTTTTGGTCAAGAATTCAATGTCCAATATTTGACGGCCAATGTTTCGACGTATAGGATATCCGAGAGCATATTAAAAAATTTCTTGATTTGGATCCCTTTCCATTAGTTATTATGTCTTCCACTGTCCATTAATTATCTGCATAAAGTTTTCATAGGTTGTCGCCTCTTAATTACTTTACAAAAGTCTTTGCCAAATGCCATGCATCATTTGTCTAACTTTTTATTACATTTGAAATTTACAGTGACTGAAAGTGAAGTTCTTTTGTTGTAGAGACTTTTTTTTGGATATTCCTAATATTTTAACAGTTAGATCTTCTAGCGAAAGTGCTAGTACACGCGAGTCCCATTAAACTTAGTCTCTTTATGCAACAAACATGGGACTTCATAACTAGTCCAATACTGTCCAGCAAAAGCTAATGATGCCAAACAAGCACACCCTTAATTTTCTTTTCTTTTAGTGGAGATATTTTTGAACACTAAATGATCATGAAGAAAAAATGTATTGCAAAGATTAAAAGTGAAAGAACCAAGACAAAAAGGGATGCTACTGGTATGGGTAATCTCTCTCTCTCTCTCTCTCTCTCTCTCTCTCTCTCTCTCTCTCCTCTCTCTCTCTCTCTCTCTCTCTCTCTATATATATATATATATATATATATATATAAAGCCAGCGGGCCAATTTGGGGTCATTGGCTTCACCAAATTTTTTTGGACAAAAATGCCCCCCAAAACAAATAATGCAGAGGTATTTTAGTCGTATAAACAGTAATTTTTAAATAATTTTTATTTTTATTACAATTTTGTCATAAAAAAATGCCAAAACAACTCATTTTCTTTTCTCCTTGCGTGCAGATCAGTAACTGCAATATTGTTGTTCTTCTTGTCCTCCTCCCTAATTCTTCTCCACTTCGCAAACTTCATTTCATCATAACTTTTTCATACGGTAACGAAATCGCGCAAGGTTGGAGCCTATAGATTGGTATCATAACCCTCTTCCATCTAATATGACACCCACACCTCAAAATCAACTGTGCTCAAAGATTGGAGCCTAGAACAGTAACGGTTTCTGACGAAGTTTTGCTGATTCCACTCAATCCTGCCAAAATTTGGTCTCAGCCCAAGAGAGAAAGATGGTCCTCTCCTGATGATCTTTCTATCTATACTTGAGTTTGTTGAGTGAATTGAAGGGATTGTTAATTGAATTTGGATAATGAGGGAATCTAGAAGATCGGGGCATGTTCTCAGGTTTGTACTACTCTATCATTCTCTTTCTCTCTTTCCGGGAATTTGAAGATGCATGTTCTGATTTATTCCATCGATGGCTACTACAAGTAATGATCTTTGGTGCGTTTGGTTCTTGAGAAAATCAATGGAAACTGTTTAATTTTGAACAAGAAAATAATTATCTTGCAAATTTCATCTTCAACCTACAGGGTTTAATTCGTTCTTATGTTCAAAAGTTGTTTTGAAAGTGATATAGCAGGCTCTGATGCATAGCCTTTATTTGATTCATTGCAGCTCCGATCTTTATTTGATTCATTGTAGATCCAAGATTATAAGAGTCAACTATTAGTGTTTGGACATGATGGTCCTTACTTTGATCGTGAAGTTGCACAGGTTCTTTTTCGACGTTTCATCACTCAACGCTGCAATAATTTGTGTTGCTTCCTTTAATATCGGTCTCCTACCTGTTTGTGATCATCTTTGTGTATGTGCAATGCAGATTATTATCAAAATTGTAATTGTAGAAAGAAGCAAACAACTTATGCATGAAGATTTTGTACGGTACGAAGAACCAATCATGTTACCCTATGTCTTTCCTGAAATGCCTATTTAAATTTGTTCATTTTTAAAATGAGTCAAAGAAACCATTTTTTGGATCTTCCAACACAAAGGCCATTGTCCTTGACAAAATGTAAGTAAGATTTAGTCCGATGTCTTTTTAGACATGGCTCTTAACATATTTGGATGTTTAACTATGCAGTGGTATTTAAGCTAAATGATGACCACTTGAACTAGATTCAGGAAAATGTGAGTTTAGTGGATACTGTGTTGCCAGAATTTGGCATTTATGTTAAATGCTGCTTTTCGTATTTTAGTTTGTTTTTTTTTTGTTGTACTGATTATTGTGGCCGCTTGTAGGACAATGTTCTGATTGCCACATTTGGTCATAAAGGTAGAGTACAACCATGTTATTTCGATGCATTTTCTACAAATTTCGAGTTTAGACAGAGTAATGGTTGAGATAAGGGAAGGATGTGGCTCAAGATTGCTCTTAATTTTTTGTTAAATGCTACATTTGGTATTTTAGATTTTTTCGGGCTATACTGATTATTGTTGCCTCTTGCAGGAATGACGTTCTCATTGCAGGATTTGGTCGTAAAGGTAGAGCACATTTGGGACCCCACAATCTTTGTGTTCAACTTCCGGATTTCCAGTCCATAGTTGGGAGATAACGAATTTTCAAATATCAAAGTTTATGATTTTTGTTTGGCCATCATTGACGAAGTAAAGGTAACTCCGTTCTGGATTTCAACATCTGGGGTTTCATTTATATTTATGGATCTTCCAATGCAAAGGGCACTGTTCTTGATCTAAATGTCTTTTCCATTAAAAATCCTAACCAATCATTTTTAGCTAATGGCTTTCAATTTTCAATCTACATTAGCATGGTTCAGTTACCTTCACAAAAAAACACTTTCCCACTTGGACAATAATAGAAGTCTTAAACCTGAACATGCACGAAGTGTTTTGTAGTGTTTGTCTTCCATTTCAACGAAGTGTTTAGTAGTAAAAATATCGTTATGCCTGCACAAATATGAATGGGAAAAACTCTATATGTCGCATGTTGTGACTCCTAAACCCCTACAACTCAAACTTCCTTCCAAGTGCAACAAAAGCATGTGTTTATACCATATTTAGGACCTCGTATTTAGATCTCGTACAAATACTCGGGGGACTTAAATGTAATTATGTGATAAAGGAAGAGGCAAATATGTAATAAGTGAGGAGCCCTTATTCTATAAAAGGACTCCTCACCCTCACAATTAGAAGAGGCTAACTCTTAGGCCTGAAGGCCCCCCTTACTCTGTCACATCTCCTCTCACATTACAGAGGTTCTCTCCCTCACAATCCTCTCATAAATACAATATTAGTGTGGACGTAGCCCAAACCTTGGGGTGAACCACGATGCATCTTGTGTTATTTACATTTCTTGCAGATTCACGGTCGGATTTACGTTGTTCCAAGACCTCTAGTTTTGTGCATCAACATTTGGCGCCGTCTGTGGTAATCGACATGAAAAATTATGTCGGTTCTCTTTCATTTTTTCACCTCCACCGTGAATCTGCAAAATCTGCAGAATCTGCAAAAACCCAAGAACCAAACAACCCAACACCCACACTCAGAGACACACCCATTCAATCTACAAAGAGAGAGAGACAGAAGAGAGAGAGAGAGAATGGCGAGTTGCAGCTCCTCCCACAACCCGGGTAGATAAGAATCCGACCCGGATCTAAGAGGTTTCTCTCTGTTGGCGAGTTTGGTGCAAAAAAAGACAACAAAAAGAAAAATGTGGACTGTCCTATACCGCAGGCAAGATGTCAAAATTACATGAACGCTACAACGCCATATGTCCTATAATTTGCCAAATGTTGACTCATTCTTTTGGCCGATCCTCTGAGAGCCATCACGACACTCACTAAGAAGCAAAAAACATCTCTCCAGTAAGATATTAAACAGTTTATATCTGAGAAGATCATACTTGCTAATAAAGTGATGGTCAAGCATGCAGTTAGCAAAATCAGGGATGGATCCAATTCAAGCAAGGAGAAGAATGTTCAAAAGCAGAACACTTTTTGCATCTATTCTTCCTCCACCTCCCTCCTCGAGACCACTTTCCATTCTATTACCAATCAGCTCCGCCCCAGCCACATGGTTAGAAGCGCTGCTTGAAGAGGATGAAGATGACCCACTGAAGCCCACCCAGTGTTTGACTGAGCTTCTTGCTAACAACACACCTTGTACGACGGTGGATCCAGTGTCCTATGAGACTGCAAATGGGTATCTTAGTCGACAACATGGCTCACCGGCTGATTTTTAGTGGCGGTGGCAGGTCGGGGGGGGGGATATCTCTCTGCCCACAGCAGTTTCCGAAAGGAAAGAGGTAAGACACTGACGATGGTTTCGCTCAAGCTCCAGAAGAGGCTCGCCTCCAGAGTCCTCAAGTGTGGTCGCGGCAAGGTCTAGCTCGACCCCAGTGAAGTCAGCGAGATCTCCATGGCCAACTCTTGCCAAATCATCTGAGGAAACTGTCTCGGAGTAAGGAGTCCACAAATTACGAGAAGTTTCTTGCTGGTGCTGCAGGTGGAATTACAGCTACCTTGCTCTGCTTACCTATGCACACTCACTAGCTCCTGCTCCGAATCCCCGACCCGGTAACTCTCATTCTCCGACCTTAAATTCACAGATGCCGTCTTGTCTTCCCCTACCTAATTATCGTGTCAGCCCACTCCTCCTAGACGGCATTCTCTACCTAATTACCGAACCTGCTCGACAAAGAAGAAAGGTTATTGAGTTCATGCGTCGGGGCGGGGCAGGAGCGGGACCCAGTTCCTGATAAGGATGAAACCCATTTCAATCGAGTCGACGAAGAGGAAAGAAGTCGGTGCTGAAGCGACCGAGCCTTTTTCAGGAGGGCCAATAGATACATCATTGCTAAAGAGCTTTAAGAGTCACTAGCCTTGCATGAGATGGTTACTTTTAGTTAGGGGTGGTTCGGTATGGGATCCCATACCGAAACCCTTGTCCCGATTTCCAAACCGAAATTTTCGGGAATCCCAATTTTCGGAAATCCCGAAATAGTGTCGGGATTTCGGGACAAATCGGGAATCCCAAAATAGTTTTGGGCTTTTTGGCTTTTGGACTAAAATTTGATATAGTATGCTTTTGGGTTGCCAATATGTTGAACATATAACAGTACATACACAAATCTTTTCTTTGTTTTTGTTTTTTAAGGAGAAATTTTGCTAACTAACTAAAACATGAAATGACATGGAGTTCTTAACGAATAAAACCATAACACAAATCTGTGCAGTGTGCAGTGTGCAAATCTGCCCAATTTGTGCAGTGTGCACAAATCTGTGCACAATGACAATAGCACAAAGCTGTGCACAATAACAATAGCATAAATCTGCCTATTCAATTTCTATTACAAATGCATGCAATAAAAATAAATTAAGTAACAAATCCAAAAGCAAAAAAATTAGTTACAAGCCAAGGTTTTAAAATAAATAAAGTAACAAACCCAAAAGAAATACAAGCCAAAGTTTCAATAATTAAGTTACAAACCAAAAGCCAAAAAGCAAGGCTCAGGGGCTGGAGATGAGGGATCGGTGAGGGAGGCTCAGGCAGGGACAACCGGACAGGGGTTGCACAGCGCTTCTGCTTTGATTCCAGTTCGATAGAACAAATGGAGACGGAAGTGAAGTGAAGTGAAGTAATGAGATCAGACCTAAAAAATCAACGACACAGATTAAATCTAAAACAATGAACGATTCAAATAATTTTCTTATAATTAAAAAATAATATATACATATTTTTTTTGGTTCGGTATGGGAATACCAAAAAAATGAAATGCAAAACCGAATCCCATACCGAAACTTTCGGTTTGGTTTGGGATTATATCCCGAAAATTTCGGGAATTTTGGTTTGGGATCGGGATTTTTTCGGTTTGGTTTGGGATTTTTGGGATTTTTTTCCAGCCCTACTTTCAGTGGTGGGGATCCTGGGGAGAGCACTGAGAAGACGCCCACTTTCATCATGAAGGGGAGCTTATGTTCCCACCATGCACCCATGAGACAACTGTGAAGAAGATAAGAATTCTTTAGTCTTATTCTTTCATTAATATGTCGTCCACTGCGCCTACGCAGAGAAAGAAGAAGGAGCGGGGAGATCAAGAAAAGACATCAAGAAAAGCAGAAACAAAAGCAGAAAGCAAAAGCAAGGAATAAATACCCCACCAGAATGATGTGATTTGCTTTTCTTGTTTTTGTATGATGTGATTTATTTTTTCTATCTTTTGGAGACATCTGTATAAACCCCATCAGAGGGTAATAATAACCAAAAAAAAAAAAAAGGCCAAAGCCCAAAATAAATGGGCTGGAATGTTGTGTAGAGGGCGAAGGCCCATAAGCCCAAAATAGCTCCAACTAGGTGATCAAAAGTACGCCTAGTACTCCACAATTATTCGGCAACCTGCCGCTATTACCACCAACTAGGGGATGAAATGTACAACTCGTACTCTAATATCATTTGGCAACTAGCCATTCATGCCACCAACTAGGTGATGAAATATACAACCCGTACTCTCATTCATGCCATCAACCAGGTGATCAAAAGTAAGCCCAGTACTCCAAATTATACATGAGCATTATTCATGTCATTCATACACAAACATTCATGAGCATCACTCATGACAATCATACATAAACATTCATGACCATCATTCATGTCAACATTCATGAGCATCACTCATGTTAACATTCATGAGCATCACTCATGTCAATCAACATAAACATTCATGAGCATTACTCATGTCAATCAACTTCAAAAGCTTCATTTACAGAGCTCTAGCTTCAAAAGCTTCATTTACAAAAGCTCCAGCTTCGAAAGCTTCATTTACAGAGCTTTAGCTTCAAAGCTTCACTTGCAAAGCTTCACCTACAAAGCTTCAGTGCAGGGTATACAAATACCGCCTCCGAACAACCGCCACTTCGACTTATACATGGATTCAATTTGAAGTCTCTAGCCAACATACTCTATTCATCGAAGACTTGGGGGACTATATTATGTACCATATATTGGGCCTTAACTGGGCCTCATGAAAATACTTGGGGGACTTAGCCCATTATCTATGTACTGAGGAGTGAGCCCTTATTCTATAAAAAGGACTCCCTCGCTTTCCTTAGAGAGCACTCATGAAAAATACTTGGGGGACTTAGCCCATCACTTATGTATTGAGGAGCGAGCCCTTATTTTATAAAAGGGACTCCCTCACTTTCGTTTGAGAGCATCGCCACTAGCTGAGCAACCGCCTCGCCACGAGCATCACTCATAACCCATTATTCATGTACTGAGGAGCGAGCCCCTATTTTATAAAAGGGACTCCCTCACCATCATTAGAGAGCATCAACTCTAGCCCATCATTTATGTATTGAGGAGTGAGCCCCTTATTCTATAAAAAGGACTTCCTCACCTTTAAACGCCACAAGCCAAGCCAACCAAGGCAACATAAGCCACGAGCCTAGCAGCCTCGCAACTTGTGCTACTTCTAGTTGAGCATCATTTCAAATTGAGCACTGCCTCATATCGAGCATCAATTCAAGACGACATCTAGTTACTTCGGCCTACACATGGATTGAATTTCAAGTCTCCAGCCAAAAAACTCTCTTGACTGAAGACTTGGGGGACTATTGTTTATACCATATTTAGGGCCTCGTATTTAGATCTCGTACAAATACTCGGGGGACTTAAATGTAATTATGTGATAAAGGAAGAGGCAAATATGTAATAAGTGAGGAGCCCTTATTCTATAAAAGGACTCCTCACCCTCACAATTAGGAGAGGCCAACTCTTA